ACCTTGACCCTAAGATGCTTTTTATTGCGTCGATTAGTTGAAACAGAATTAAATACGAATATCGTTCGTATCGTTCCACGTCAAACAACGATAACTTAGATGCGATGCGCTTCTAGTTTGTTAAAAGATCCCAAAGCATCACTGATTTATAAACATGTAATTTTTTATTTTGTCGATTTCTGCGGTTTTGAAAAATGGAAGATTATATCTAAAAGTATGAACAAATGCAGTATTTTTTTCTCTAAAAAAACGTATTTAGACTTTTGCTCTAAAATAATTAGGGGAGCTAGTAATTGACTATAAAGAAATTACCACTGAAATCTCTATGCTGCGTTGCGCTAGGCACCACCCTGTATGTAAAAGTACCTTCCTGTGGTTATGTATTGTATTAAACGTTCAAATACAAGTACACATTCACTGTATGTGCACATATACAATGCATAAGAGTGACAATATTCTGTCTCCATGGCATGTTGTACCACTACAGAATGTTTTTATTATTATTATTATTTTATTAAAACGTTGTGTCTACTACAAATAAAACCAACGAGGGGTTGAACCTAACCTAAAAATTTTTTTTCCCTACATACAGAACGTTACTATTTACGTGTTTACAAATCCAACACTCCGCCCCACTTTAACTCTCCGCCCCGATTAACACTGCAAAGCACTTCGCCAATGCACCACTGATCTTTAAAACTGTCCATTTTATTCATGCCTTTATGCCACGAGAAAGTTATTAAGATTTTGCTTTTAATGCCCTTTAGGTAGCCATCCCGAAGGGACGTTGGATGCGTGTCGTTTTTCATGGCGGTGATTAATTGAACATATATATAAAACTTTGCAGAATTAGTCAGAAAATTGATTAAAATATCACTGCGGTTGTTCTCTTTTACTCCACATAACGCGTCAACTAGTGATAGTCTTCTACCTTGCCAGATGTTACTTGCCCATGCGATAACAAGGCCCCAAATTTCTTTGGCTAACAAGCCAAATTCTATTATCATATGCCAAGCGTTAGCTGTGATCTTTTCGCAAACCTGGCAGTTCTCAGTAACCCTGATGTTTGCTTTGAGCAGATAGGTCGGATCTGCTAATCTGTTTTTCGCAAACCGCCAGCTAATTTCTGCCATTGAACCAGATGTACAGCAGTTGAAAAATGATGACCAGTTAGTATCGTTCTCGGTCCAGTGATTACTTAAGCATTTGTCGGAAGTCCTTTGAAAGTACTCAGCCATGAATAGGTTTTGTAGCTTTCTTCTGTTGCTTTTATTCAGAGTTAATGTGGTGCCTCCAAAGTACTTAAATTTTAGTACAATTTCATGAGTATTTCTGCGGTTTACATCGCGCTCGGTATACAGTGCCTGGAAAAAAACTCTAATCCTTCTGTAGTGGGCTATAAGTTGGTTCCTGACATTCATAGTGGCATTTTCAGGCAAAAGTAAGTCCTCTTCGTCCACCCATCTATCCCCAATCCTGAAGTCGCCTATCGTTTTGTAACCCCACTTAGCCCAGTTGGCACTAAATAAAGGCGGTACGGCATGTGATATTAAGGTTGACGTTGTGGTTGGGGTTTTAAGAAAGTCGAAGTGCTCCAATGTAAAATTTATTGCTTGCATGTTAGAGATAAGCTCTTGTACATAGGTTGAGACTAAGGGACTGCTAGGTCTTTTCCCATCCAAAAAAAACCATTGCCACGACAGCCCCAGATCTTCCGCCATTTGCATACTCTCCTCTATTATCGACCTCCAACTTGAATCTTCAGCTACCGTGATGAGACGTTTTGCCAGCCACGCCCGCATTAATTTAATTTTGGAAGGGATATGCACAAGTCCCAGACCACCTTTCCGAACTGGAAAACACAGATCTTCATGCGAAGTCCAGTGTTTCCCTTTCCAAATAATGTCAACTAACTTTTGCTGTAAAGATTTTTGTTGCTTACTCGAAAGAGTGATACACTGCAGGATGTGGTATAGCTTCGGAGCGATGTATGTATTAATGACGATTTTACATGTACCAACATTGTGGATACGTAAGAAATTTTTTGTGCGTACATTGTGAGGAGGACGTTTAACCATTGTGTCTCTCTTTGTACGAACATTGTGGATACATTACCACATATGAATAGTGTTGTTGTGTTACTTTGTGTATACATTTGGAAACATATCTACAACAGATACACATGAGAAATGTACTGTTATGTGCTGTTTGGGATAGGTAATACATTTTAGACACATTTCTCACAAATATTAATGTTCAATACGGGCCGACACGCCAGAACAAGATTCATGCACCCACAACTTGCAAATATTACACTGAATTATGTCTTCAACGAGTTTTTCTTCACACATAAAACAATACCATTCGTCATAATTTATTTCTATAACTGGACTTGTCTTGACTTTTTCGGTAGAAGTTGATGGCTGAGGTTTATTTGCTTTGTCTTTAAGACCCTCTTGGTTTTCTTGATTGGTTTAGCGCATTTCTTTTTCTGCTTCTCCTCCAAATCTTCTTTATATGGAGTTGCAGTTAGGATTTCAGCTTTTTGCGCAAGCCGCTGTCTTTTTTTTTATGTTGGACCACTTCAGGTAGAGGAGACAACATTTCAGGACTATAGTATTGGCTAGCTAAGTCATTATCAGATTGAGATATTCCTTTTGCTTTAGAACTATTTCGAGGTGGTGTATAATTTTCTTCGAGAAGCTCAACATTTGCATCTTTCTCAGTTTGGTCCATACTTTGTGAATTGATTTCCATTGGCTGCTCATCATTTTTTAATTCACTTTTATCATTCAATCTGTCTGCGATTTGAAATTGTGAATCGTTAAAAATATAGCGATTTACAGGCCATATTCCTGCTCCTCTAAAATTACCGACGGCATTAGAAATGGTAGCTGCTTGACAATAGGCAATATTTAAAAGTTCAGATATCTCAAACTGGGTAATAATTGTTGATCCTGGATGACTCTTCAGCCATGTATCCTGAGCACAGCCCTGGATTAAGGGGGGGCTTTGGGGGCTATAGCCATGGGCCCCGGCTTTCTAAGGGCCCACTTCCGTTTCAAGAAAGTGTACTTATTACAATTATGCAAATTGCAATTTGATTTTACACTGTAATGTTAGCTGCTGAATTCTACATTTGTACCATTATAAATAAACGACCTCTCTTATCTCTACAGTACAGTACTTATCTATGGAAAAAACAATGAACAAAAATTAATATGAAATGCAAGTAAAGCGAAACATGAAACTGCTGGCGAATGCCTCTTGCAGGTTCGTTGAATTCGAGTACGCGAAGTCGCGAACTAGCTTTGGTTTGTTGTAGTCAGCATTGTTGTGGGTACTGGTATCATAATACCTACGTTGTGGACTTGTGGTTATGGAACTGGAAATGCATTGCTCAAATCACTTTTGGAGTTTATTAAAGCACTCCGAACGAAAAGTGATGATATTTCTTATATGGAAGAAATTGAGAAGATGGCAAAAAACCTTTTGCCGACTGTAGTTTTAGAATATACCGACAAGTCCAAACGAATTTCAAAAAAAAAGTATGCTGATGGTAGCAAGGGCGATACATCATTACAAGGGCGCGATAAATTTAGAATTGAGACGTTGAATGTCATTTTAGACAAGTTAATCCAAGAGTTGCAAAAACGCTGTGAAGCTTATGATGATGTTTACAAACTATTTGGATTTTTAACAAGAATTCCAAACGTGTCAATAGAGGATCTTACTACTAGTTCTTTAAAGCTGATAGAGGTATATAAAACAGATGTATCTGAGAACTTAACGCATGAACTAATTCAGTTTACTGAATACCTACTTACGTGAAATTAAAAAAGATAAAAATTTAACACCAAATGACCTGTTAAAATTTATGGAAGAAATGGATCTAATGCAAGTTTTTCCAAATGTGTATATAATTTTAAGAATATATTTAAGTATTCCTGTAACAAATGTGAGGGTGAAAGGTCATTTAGTGCGTTATCTTTTATTAAAAATAAATATCGATCGACAATGGGAGAGTTCAGATTATCTGCACTATCCCTGTTGACAATAGAATGTGAGTTAATGAGGTCCATAGATTTTGAAGATGTTATTAATGATTTTTCTGTGTCCAAATGTCGTAAAAAATCTCTATAGTTTAGTTACCAATAAAATTGTTTGCATGTACGACTACCTATTATCTACATAGGTAATCCGTTTTCTATCTAATAAATGAGGTCATACGGAGTGCAGGGCCCCATTTTATAAGTAGCCCCTGGCCCCATAAGACCTTTATCCGGCGCTGCCTGAGCCTGATTGTAGTAGGTAGACATAGGAGCAAACACCCCAACATCTAAAGGTTGCAGCCTGTATGTGTTGTGTGGCCTGGAAGTTGTAGCAGAATAACCCCAAACTTTTTTGCTAATTCAATTGCCTGTAGGTTTTTAGAATGTGTTGTATGACCGTCTACTAGCAATAAGACTTTTCTATTTATGCTCGGATTTACATGCTTTATGAAGTGCTGTCCCAGTAAACATGAAACATAACAATAATATTAAGAAACATTTTTTTAAAGTTACATTTGCAATGTTTATTTGTAACATAACAATCACGTAATAAGAACTTTATTTTATCACTAAAAAACATTATTTATAAAAACAGCTACGTTATGACATGTCAATGTTATATTTTAAATGTCTATAAACTTTATTACTGAACATTTATGTAACATTGGCAAACAAGATAATTAAATGTGACTGTTATAAGAATTAAAGGTGCTAATGTAGTATGCGGTCTACCTATACCGGTTGTTCGATTTAGTAATGCAGCATGTGGTCTGTCTTCCCATTCCGTGTAATATAAAAATGCAAAAAATTCCTATAGACGTAGTGCATTTTAATGATTACACCTAATAGGTAATCGATTAGATGTTCACCATTATAATTAAGTATCCATTTTCTTGCAATAAATTCATATACGAGGGCTATTTTTTTTTCAAGTTCCGATCGATCAGTACGTAAAATTAGGAAGGAGTATTCGAATGAGCGTTTGGTTTTTGAGAATAGTAGGCTTCCCCCACCACTAGCAACCGATGAGTTTTCTCCACGACAGTGAAGGGTAAACATGTCATTCATAATCGACTCTGCCGCCAAGTGCGAACTCCGCTCTGTAATTCGATTTCTCTGTGCTGAGGGGCATAACGCTGCGGAAATCCACCGGAGAATGAGCAAAGTGTATGGTGACAACTTCATGAGCGACAGTATGGTCCGGAAATGGTGCCGGGAGTTCAAAGGACGAACTGACGTGCATGATGAAGGCGGCCAGGGAAGAAAGTCTGTGGCGACCGACGATTCTGTGCATGCAGTGGATGAATGGGTTCGACACAACCGACGGTTCACAATTTCTGAGTTATCGGACGCCTTTCCTGCAATGTCAAGGTCAGCTGTCTACAGCATCCTGACCGAGAAGCTTGGTTACAGCAAACTTTGTGCGCGATGGGTCCCAAAAATGCTTACCGACATTCACAAGACTCAGCGAATGGACGCCACATCAACGTTTCTGAGGCGCCACCAGGAAAAAGGAGACGAATTTGTGGACAAGATTGTGACGGGAGATGAGACGTGGGTTAAATTTGAAACTGAAGAAACAAAAGAACAGTCAAAACAATGGATGCACAGCCATTCCCCAAACAAACCAAAGAAGTTCAAGAAGACATTCTCCGACAAAAAGCTCATGGCAACTGTTTTTTGGGACCGCAGAGGTGTTTTGCTGGTTGACTTCATGGAGCCTGGAACGACTATCACCTCCACCGCATACTGCGAGACGCTGAAACGGCTTCGCAGGGCGATACAGAACAAGCGGCGGGGCATGTTGTCGTCAGGTGTTGTTCTTTTCCACGATAACGCTCGTCCCCACACTGCTCGACAGACGAAAAATCTTTTGGAGCAGTTCAAATGGGAGGTTTTTGATCATCCACCGTACAGTCCGGATTTGGCTCCAAGCGATTTTCATCTCTTTCCTAAATTGAAACAAGCTCTAGGAGGAACACGTTTCAGAACAGGACAGGAGCTCCAAGACATGGTCAGAACATGGTTGGACGAGCAGGTGCCCCGCTATGAGAAATGCTTAAATCGCCTTGGCGATTACGTAGAAAAGTAGAGTAAGGTTGTAGCTGCGTATGTAAATAAATATTTGTATATACTTACCTTTGTTTTTATTTGACAGCCAATCGGAACTTGAAAAAAAAATAGCCCTCGTATAATACAAATAATGCATTTTAATGATTAGACCTAATAGCAAAACAATTTGATGTCGACTATGATAATTAAGTAGGTACCTACCCACTTTCTTTTCTGTGATGAGGCCTTAATGATACAATAATATCATAAATTGAGCGAAAAACTTCGAAGATGCTGATGAAAGATTTTTACACCGTAATTCCTTCTGAAGAGGCTGCAACGAATTATTTATTGCGAAACGAATTGTTGGTTGGCGTGAATCAAACAAATCCTTGCGATAGATGTGGATCAGAAATGGCAGTAAAAAGACGTCGTGATAGACAAGGAGAGTTCCGTCAAGTGCTGAGGTGTCCACGAAAGAATTGCCAAGTAACCAGGTCTATTCGCAAAGGAAATGACTTCTTCCACTATGTGGATTTAAATGGCAAGACCAATAGCCGGTTAAAGCTTTGCGAAATCCTGGAATTAATTTTCATGTTTGTCCATGAGATACGAAACGAAACAACTATACAATTAACGGGTAAATCGTCACATACAGTTTGTGATTGGTTCAATATGTGCCGAGAAGTTTGTTCTTCCATTGTTAATGTAAATAGACGCGGGCAACTAATTGGAATAAATGAAGATCCTGTGCAAATTGATGAAGCGAGGTTTGCAGGCCGTCGAAAATATAACAGGGGTCGCTTGAAGGATGGTGACCACCCGGCTTTGTCAGATGACAGTGATGTTGCAGTTGATAACCAACGTAATCATGGGCAGCGAATTGACGGCCCTTGGGTGTTTGGCCTGCTGAATCGGAATGAAGTGAGGTATTTCGTTGTGGAACGCAGGGACCGAAATACGTTGATTCCAATAATACAACGTGAGGTTCAAATAGGATCCACAATTCATTCCGATGAGTGGCCAGCATACTCTAATTTGGGTAATTTGGGCTACACTCATTCAACTGTCAACCACCAACACAACTATGTGGATCTTGCCAGTGGTGCCCACACACAAGGTATCGAGAGATCGTGGTTAGAGGCTAAAATGAAGTTGATGAAAAGAATGAGAGCAGTTCCAAAACAGCATTTACAATCCCATTTGGATTATTTGTCGTGGAAGTAGGGTAAGGTTGCCTATATTGTACCACTTTTCAAAAAAATGCTTCTAAAGACTAAAAAAATGGTTAGCAGCTTATGAAAATTTTCTATTATTTTGTTTAATATATTTTTTCTATTTCGGTGTCACAATGATGATTTTGTACAACTGTTGTACAAAGACAGTGATTATAGTCGTTTTTTTTGTAACTCATCTCTTAAGTTGGCAGTTACTAGTTAGTACAAGTAGGTACTTCGTTGGGTACTTCCATGTTTGAACTTCAAAATGTCAGTCTTACTACGCTGCCAACCTAAAACTTAACGGCATAAAAAGTGTTCCCAACATAAAACATGTTAGTTCTAATGTTCCCTATAGTTTCTGATAATGATTTTTTTAAATTAAATTAAAGCACCGAAATAGAAAAAATAGTATGAACAACGCGTGTTACAATGCTTTATTGTAATACTCCTATCTTGCGGACACTCGTGGCTACGCTTCGCGTCGCCACTCGTGCCACAAGATAGTCGTATTACAATAGGTCGCATTGTAACACTTGTCTTTCAATATACTATTTTATTATACCTGAATCACAATCTCCGTTTTAAACACTCAAATGCGTGCGAAAAAGGGCCTTTAAAACACACGTGCTTTAAAGTTGCTAAGTAACGATACTTCAAGTATGACTTTTGAAACTGTCATCTGGATGAAAAAAAAATCCTCTTAGGTCGCTTTCTGTAAATGCAGAACATTTCTTTGGCTTTTGTACCTATCCTTTGGTTGAAGCTTTCACAAACGCGCGTAATTTAGGGTATGCTTGCTTCCAAATCTGTTCCACTTTTTAATCGCAGCACTGCTTTAAAGTTTTGAATGAATGCACCAAAATATAGAAGATTTAAATACCTTTGACATTTCCTTCATATATGCCAGCATTATGGATGCATTTAAGACTGTATTCGTAAGTAACTTCCTATTCATCCATGGAAACAACTTTTCATATTCCTTATAATAGGCTTTACTGGAGTTGGATTTTACACCTACCAACGTTTGTTTAGATTTTACAACAATCGATTTAATGGACGGTGTATTATCTTTTTCAATGGAAATCGTTTAATTCATAAAGACGATGATTTTTATAAGCAAACGTCAAGTGACATTTCCATGGCAATCGTGAAATTACGAACACCCAGCCCACTTAATTAGACATCGTATTCGAGTATAACGTCAATATGACTTCATTGTATTCCCTATTTTTAAATTATACTGCAGGTATAATAAAATAGTTATTTGTGTACCAAGGCCGTAAAAGTGATCTTTTTTGGCCGAAGCTGCTGTTTGTGGCCGAGGCGGTAGCCGAGGCCGCAATTCAGATGAGGCCTAACAAATCACTTTTGGCCAAGGTGCACACAACATTTTTTAGGCGATCATCAAAAAAAGAATTCAAAAATTTGCTCATAAACATATTTTTTCTGAAAATCATAGTTATCTTAGACAATTAAAAACAAAGCATTTCCTGTCATATGTAATAAATTATAATTAGCATTTTTGCGTGTGTTTTGTGCGTATCAAAATGGGTGATAGCGACAATTCAGATACCCAAAATGACATTTTGGAAGCTGCAAGCGTTGCGACCCTAAGTCATATAGGTATGATATAAGAGCAGGCGTTTGAGAGTAAAAGTACAATCGCAACTTCCTCCGCTGCACAAGATTTTAATAATGTCAAATGCAATAGGTCCTTCGTAACTGTGGCTTCCAAGACCTTATAGTTAATCATGCTGTACAATTATTAGAAACCTGATTACCTACTTTGATGGTAGGTATAGGTAGCTACTTGTGTTTTCGGTTAATTGCTGGTGATTCTTCGTATAATAATGTAAGCAACAACATCTTCCTCATGTTTTGGTTCTACACTTCAAAAAGGTCTGCAAGCAGCAAAGATTGAAACGTCAAACTATAATTTTAAATGTGAAGATTGTGATTATGCAAAATAGTGTGAAACATCCCTACAAGTCCGAAAATGAAAAAAAACGCACGTGGATGGCCCAATCCTTGATGGGGCTACACCAGATAGACGCTTTGTATCAAACAGATTACTGTTTCTCACACATCAGTTTCAAATAAGTACAGTTTGACAGATGTGTACAATAAAGTAAAGTTTGACAGAAGCGTACAATAAAGTGAAACTTTATGGCCGCAAAAGCGACCATAAAATCAACGCTTTTGTGATGATAGCCTAAAAAATACTATAAGATACACGTGTATAATTAGTCTTTAAAGCACTTGCAACGTTAAAGGCACTCCGCTTTGCGTCGTGCCCTTAATCTCGTTGCGCGTGCTTTAAAGACTTGATTATACACTTGTATCTTAATATACTAATTATTGTGTAAGAAAATTTTATTACTATATTAAAAAAATGCTTGAAAAAGAACTTAACGGAACTGAGATTTACAAATGTCACAAGTATAATCGGGAGAAACAAAAGTAACACAGGACTCGTGAGACCACTTCTGGCATTTAATGCACTGGATCATATTCTCCACTCTGCATTCATCGCACATTTGACAGTACCACTCCTCTGCGTTTATCTCAATTACGGCATCGACCATTTTGGTTCGTTTAGATGATTGTTTTGCAGACATGCCTGATGTGTTCGGCTTGGGTGAGGTTGAACCAATTCTTCTCCGTACAGAACAACGCTTATCTTGACCAGAAACAGATGCACGAGCTTCCAGTTCATCTTTATATGGGGTAGATGTTAAGGTCTGTGATTTTTGCGGTCCTTTGGACTTGCGATTATTTCGTACTTCTTTTACATTAGGCATAGGAATTATGTTTTCAAAAGAAATGTGCACACGAGGCGATTGCATCTGCTTCACAACTTCAGAAAGGGGAATGTCGCCGTCATTGTCACTTGTGTCGGAATCTTGATGAGAAGTGTTATTGACCTCAACTCCATTTGAAGTCGAGACTTCCTGTAAGGCAAGTGAAGGTGCAAAATCAACATCGCGAAAGACGTTTCTGTCGACGGGCCATATCCCACATTTTCGAAAGCCGTTTATGGCATTAGCAATGGTTGCTGCCCTTGGATAGGCCTCACCAAGAATCTGCGCAACTTGAAACTGCGTCACTCCTAACCCTGCATGCTCCCTCATCCATTTTTCAACAGCTTGGTTGTAATATCCCTCCAATGGCTTGAACACCGCTACATCGAGGGGTTGCAGTCGATGCGTGGTGTGCCCTGGTAACTGTAACATAATAACTCCATGTTGTCTTGCTAACTGCACGGCCTTAAGATTCTTGGAGTGAGTTGTGTGCCCATCAAGCACTAACACAAGTTTACTGTCAATAGACGGCTTAACAACGTCAATAAATCCCTGCAGCCACACCACAAACAGATCTGAGTTAATGTAGCCGGTGTCAGAAATGACGACCATACACCCAGGTGGTGCTCCCATTCCAAGCTCAGTCATCATTCTTTTTCTCTTAAAAATGATCATAGGCGCAACATATTGCCCAGATGCGCTAGTACAGACAACCATAGTTGTATTTACCCCCCTTTCACCGCTGGCTATTGCTCCTATTTGATGCTTTCCTTTTCTGGCAAGAATTTTTTGACACTTCTTTTGCACAGTAGAAAACCCACTTTCATCAACATTAAATATTTTAGTTGCATCCAAACGGTTTTCGTCTACTAGTTTCTCCAAAAGGTTAAAAAATCCGAATACATTTTCTTGATTAAAGCCCTTGGAACGGGCCAAAGACGTGGCTTCCGGCTGCCGTAAAGAAATATTTGGATGTCTCTTCATGAATTGGTAGAACCATTTTTTGCCTGCCATTCGGGATATTCTATTAAAGCTGTGTTTTATGTTATTTTGCTCAGCAAAGTCAAAAGCAGCTTTACGGATATCACGAATTGTCACGCCATAAAAGCTCTCCTCCAATTTTAATATTTGATCCTCAAGCTGGTTTTCGATCTCAGCACTAAAAACTGTAGACCGACCTAACGCTTTTACGCCTTCTTTGGCTTTAACATTGGACGAAGCTAAATGTCTTTTTAAGGTAGGCTTGGGGACATTGTACATGGCACAGATCTGATTAAGACCAAATCCCCCTGTTTTGTATTTTATTAACGCCTCTTTCATATCCATTTCTGACCATTGGCCATATTTCATACCCTTTCGGCTCATTCTGAAAAAGAAAGTTTCGTAAATTGTACCGGTCCAATTTAGCCAACTCCCAAATGGTACAAATTAGGAAACCTGCACAATTCTCTATGTGTTTACGAACTAATCGTCAAAGAATGAGGTTAACCCAAATACTGATAGTACAAAATGCTGTGAAATGATTAGTTATTCAGTAGAAATAGCCAATACTGTCCCATAGAACTTACATTTTATTTTAGAGTTTAGAAAAAAACATGCAAAAGTTACATCAGTTATATGGAAACAAGCAACTTCAATTTTCACAGCGGATAACTTTATGCTAGGAAGGTAACTTTTTGCACACTTGCTTTGTAATAAATGAACTTTCATCTCTGGTGATTAGATGGCGCTATGCACTTTGGATATTTAAAATATTAAGGTGGTACAATTTAAGAGCCGGTACAAATTAGGATACCTTCCCCCACATGAGATCAACTGAAGAAGATATGTTTGTATGTTACCTCAGGGATATTCGCACTGTTCATATGTAAATACTGGCGTTTTATGTATTATTATATAAGTTTTTCGAATTGTGTTATTTTTTGGAATATATGTTCATTAGTAAAATAAACTATGAATTTATTGGTTTTTCTTGTATATTGTACCGAATTAAAAATGTGTATCCAATATTGTTCTTCCAACAATCGAAAAATGTTGTAAAAAGTAATAACTTAATGTTATTATTGTAACAGCACACTGGTATGTTACATAACATTAAGGTAATATTCTTAATTTATATCAAAGAGCAACCCCTCTTTGTTTATTTTCAAAGTTGGGTAAATATTACTTTTTATTGGACTTTTAAATCTACTGTGCGCGCGGTACTGGTCATGAGGATGCGTAAGACAAATCGTCTCGTCCGTTCCCGGCCGATCTTCGACGGTCAGCGCCAGATGTGTCGTTCTACCGAAAAGACGTCGCCATATTTATTTCTTGTGTAACCTTCAAGCATAAAACGTGTTTTGTTGATCTTAAAGTGAATATGTCCGATGACAAGAAGGTAAGTAAGTAATTTATTTTGAACTTTTATTGGTTACTTTCATTATTAAGTGTCTGTTTCACTATCGACTGAAAGAAATTTCCGTACCGGTTCAGATAACGGGGCCACGCGTTATTAAAAATTGATAATTGCGCCAATTATTTTTATGCGTTTTATCATTGTCGAGGGTCATTGTATCATGTGTAAAAATTTCATGGCTGTCCTTGCATGGCCCCAGAAATTTCATTAATTGGTTAGATACAGGTGGGTCCAGACTTGTTGCGTATCCTGGTATCGTATCTCTGTATCGTACCTCTTGACATGATATGGTGCAACAGCTACATCACTCCAGACAGCAGAAAGTATCTGTATCAAAAAAAGATACGTGGGAATCGATCGATCAAATGTGAGAACTTATATTTGTCCAAACTAGTGTCGTATCATCTCTTTGATGTCTCGGCGAAAAACCGCCAACTAGGCGATCACGTCCGTTGCGTTTTTACGTATCACAGTTTTGATACGTCTCGGTGCAACGTTTCCATGTCTACACTGATACGATACGAGGATACGCAACAAGTCTTGTCTTGTTGCATAGGGTCCAGATTTGTTGCATATCCTCGCATCGTATCTCCGTATCGTATCAGTGTAGACAGGGAGACGTTGCACCGAGACGTGATCGCCTAGTTGGCGGTTTTTCGCCGAGACATCAAAGAGATGATACGGCACTAGTTTGGACAAATATGTTCTCACGTTCGCTCAATCGATTCCCACGTATCTTTCTTTGATACGGATACTTTCTGCTGTCTGGAGTTATGTAGCTGTTGCACCGTATCGTGTCAATAGTACGATACGGAGATACGATACCCGGATACCTACGCAACAAGTCTGGACCCACCTTATTATCTAAACAATTAATGAAATTTCTATTGTATATAACTTATTATTACTATCAAATCAAATCAAAAAATCCTTTCTGAACAAAATCTTTAACTTAGAAAATTGTTTTAGATTACCAGAAAATCTGGAAAAGGATATTCTGCAAAACATTTAAAAAGACTCATCAAGGGCGATGTTGAGACCTCGAAAGAAAAAATAAAAAAGAGGATCCTTTTGGGTCCCACTCGACATAGAGATCGTAACATACTCTCTCTAAATAGTGGTTATAATAACAACCTTAGTAATGACTCCTCACTGTCTTCCACACTCCTCCCTACTACCTATTCAAAATCCGTATTATTTGATGAAAGTGTCTCTAGTAAAGTTAATAATAGTCTACAGCTTCTGATTATTTCATTCCGCAGCCCTTGTCAACATTTACTAATGCAGAACAACTGAGTTCACCACCAATTACCACTGAACAGTTAAATCGTTTTATAGAACATTTAAATTCTTGGGCAGTTGATTCTAGGGTTGCTCATAACACATATTCTAAGTTGTTAACATTAATTAGAACAGACCTAAATCTAGATATACAAAAAGATTCTCGTACTCTCTTGAAAATTGAAAAGATTTCCAGAAATTTGATTGTAGATATGGCACCAGAACATTATTATCATTTTGGTTTGAAGAAGTCAATTGTATACGTATTACAAAGGTTTTCCTTTATCACAAATGAAACAAAAGCTTGAAGTAAACGTTGATGGTCTTCCGTTATCCAAAAGTAGTAGTACCATAATTTGGGGTAACTTAAGACACAGGGGTAATTTGAGACAATTTGCGCACTTAAAATTAACGTTCTGTATGACAGACTTACGTGGTTCGTATAAAAGTGGCGGGGGATTTTTATAGTGTTTACACGTCTATCTTGCGAATATTATATTAGCGGAAATAGTTTTTGCGAAAGGTAAGTTTATTATAACAATCAGAATGTTGATGGTCAAAGTACCCTAATTAATTACGTGTATAACTTTGCCTGCATATCATATGCTATTGTTCGTAAACAAACGATAATTGTTTCATAAATAACCCTTAGACCATGTAGTACATGGACTGCTAATTGTAACGAAAATATGGTCAAGGACATCGCCTGGATATGTGAGTTTCAAGGTAAACGAGTCTGTCCGAAGTTTTCCGATGAGACACGATTTGAGACTGTCAACCTATAAATTAACAAACGTCAAATAATTAATCGCCTAGATATCCCAAAAAAGGCAAACTTATTCTTATTTGGGGACGTATAGCAAATAATGAAGAGTATTTAAAGCTTCCCGTACTACGCGGTTACTATAAATCTGCTCTTTACGCGATCCGAGTGGTGTTCATACGACTTTAGTTTACCCTGAGATTCACATACCCACGACTACAGTGCCCTCTATCCGTGACCACCCATTTTGTATTGAAAGCATAGGGCGAATAGCAGTCCATGTACTATATGGTCTAAAGAAATAACCCCAATGTTTGTGGTTCTTATGCCGGTCATACGGAGGCAGTGTTACCAACCTTCTATTTTTTATTGAATATAATTTGTTGAAGTCTCCCTGTCGGGGTAACATGAGACAGTAGGCGCTTTCCAATGACCTGCATAGCGCGCTTCCGGAGTGCTCCGTAACTGCTCGATTAACTTTTTGTGTGTTCCTTTGCACAGAAGCGCCACACTCTTGAACCGCACATTTTGCATTCCCCTGCCCCCTCAAACACATGCAAATTTTTAGAACAGTTCAAAAGTTTTACGCACTTTTAGGTTAGGATTTTAATAACATTTGTTGCAATGGATATGTTGGTGATGGTAAGTACCGAAAAATATACTTCCTACTTGTATGAACTCAAATGATTTATTGCAGGATCTGTTGACGGGTACCTTATCTGAAACTGATGCATCAGATTCCTCAGATGAAGATGACCAATTTATAAAGGAACCCCCAACCAAGATTACTCGCATTGAAAATTTTGTTGAAGAAACAGTACCACAATACAGTGATGCAGTGTTTCAAGAACATTTTAGAATGTGCCGGAGAGTGGTGGATTTTATTATAGGTAAATGTTTAAGTACCATCATCTAATAAATACCTTCTAACTTCACTTTTCTATAGGATACTTTGCACAAAGTGCATATAAAGCTGCAAGCATTGGTGGCCGTGACAAAGTATCGAATGAGAAAGCAATATTGTTATCGTTATGGTACCTTGCCAATACAGAAACATTTCGACAGGTTGCGGATCGTTTCAATGTGTCTTTAAGTTCAGCACATAGGTGTTTGGTGCGTGTAATTACTTTTCTGACATCCATTAAGCATGAATATATAGTATGGCCTTGTAAGAACGAAGCGAAACATATTGGTGAAGAATTTGAGAAAAAGCAGGGAATCAAAAATGTTATTGGGGCAATTGACGGCTGTCACATTCGAATAAATAAACCCAAACTCAATCAAGATTCGTATGTTAACCGAAAAGGTTACCATAGTATTTTGCTTCAAGGTGTAGTTAATAACAGAAAAATGTTTATAGATGTATATTGTGGAGAACCTGGGTCTTTGCATGATGCCAGATTGTTGCGTAAATCAACATTATATGCAAAGGCTGCAGAAAATGAAGACATATTTTATAATGTTTTTGTTGGGAGACTCGGCATATCCATGTCTTAATTGGATTGTCCCACCGTTTAAAGATAATGGCAACTTAACTGTACAGCAGAAAAGATTTAATTATAAACATTCCAGCACTAGAATTTGTGTAGAAAATGCATTTGGCTTGTTGAAGGGAAGATTTCGCAGGTTGACACATTTTGAGAATTTAGATATGCATCTAATTGTTAAATGCATCATGGCATGTTGTGTTCTTCACAACCTTTGTCTTAAGGAAGGCGACGATTGTGAGATAACGGAAGTCAATATTTCTGAAGATGTGTCTAATGATCCTCAAAGGCAAGATAATTTACCAGTCAACAACAGAAGAGAGCAAGTATTTCTTTTATTGAGAGATCAAATGTAAATATTTTTATTTGTTACTCAGTTGTAAACGTTGATTAACAAGACAAAACGCAAACGGGTAAACGTCATCTTTAAACGCTACTGACTTGTAAAACTGACAGCAGACCTGTAAAACTGACAGCTGACGTGTAAAAATTTTACAAGTTAGTAATCTAGTAATTTCATTGGCCAGATTTAATGCGAAGTCTCTGTTACATGGATAATATGATATTTTAGACATTTCTTTGAGATCAATTTAAGAACTAATTATTTACGTTTACAAATGAGTAACAAATAAAATATTGTACAATATACGCCAGGTAATAGTTTTTACTGGCTCTAGGAGATGACAGGCTCGCCTCACGGCTCGCCAGTCAACTTCTCCTATCGCCAGTAAAAACTCACTTACCTGGCTAATAATGTAAAATACTATAATGTAATGTAAAATAGTTTATAATAATAAGTAATCGATTATTCAGTTTCTTCCAATTTTAAATATTTTTCTAGTAGTTTTAACTTCTTATTTTCAAGAGCCATTTTCTCATCATGGCGGATTTGTCGTTTCTTATATTCTTCTTTTTTCATGTTAATAAATGATTGAGATATTGTTTGTTTCCTTGTTTTTTTTTGTGGTGGTGCTGCTGCTTCATCATTTTCCGGGACAGGTGCATTGGGGTTTTCGTTTTCCACATCTACTATTTGAATGTCTGGACTTTGAGAGTTAATGGTTTGGGGATGTTGTACGTTGTCTTGGTTTTGGAAAGAGGTAGATGCAAGGGCATGATTACATGAGTTAGCAGGTTTATCTCCCAGTATGTTATCTAATTCATCGAAAAACATAAACCTACTAGGACCTCGTCCACTTCTAATTTTAGTGTCTTTTGCAGTTTTATAGCTCCGCACTAAGCTTTTCCATTTAAGCTGTGCTTGGTCTGATGTTACAACAAAGCCTAAGCTTAGTAGATCATTTGCCACATCATTGAATACATTTTTCCTTTTCCTTGGATGATCAAGGTTATCCAAATGTGATCCGATAGAGCCAATTAGAGCTTTCGTTTCATTATGTTGCCAAACATGTTTGCTTTCAGTTAGAGTTCCAGAAGATTCCCCTAAATTGTGTGTTTCATTATTCTGTAAGGTTTGCTATTAGCAAGGTAAGTTAAATATTGTGAAGTATCCATACCTTATCATTTGGCATTAATTCCTCATCATTTCCTTCAGGATTATCATTATTCCCATCTATCATACCACTCACACTACACGGTAAAAAATATTTTGTTAAAAGTAATCAAATTTTTATGTTAACATTTTTTCATTGCTTCAAAAAAAATTTGGTTAGTCTAATACGTTATTCGCTTTAAATAAGTATTATCAGTTATTGCCGCTAAAAAACAATATTCTTCATTTAAATGTATTTTTTATTTCGATCAAACAACATAATGTTAGACTTAAAAGAGCATTTTCTTTAATGAACAAAATATTTTGTTAAACTAATTCACAGAACGGAATGTTAAGTCAAATTAAATAGTGAGTAGGTTTAACAAAACCGTTTGTTTAAATCAACAAAAAAAAATATTGTCAGAACAACTAATTATTTCTGTATGACAAACATCGTTATTCTCTTGATCAGATCAAATGGAGCTTAAATCAACAAGCTCTAATGTTACAGAAACAGAAGTGCGATTGTTTTAAAAAATGCAGCTCTTAGTGTCTATAGCGATGTGAACGTGATCAGATATACCACGCGGCACAGCTATTGTTCAATATAGTTTGTTCAGTTTGTTGTGCTCTTCATTATACAATTTTATTAAAGTAAGATGAATAAAATGCTATCAATTATGAAATAATAATAATCGTGTTTTAGTGCCTTCGAATATTTTTATACTTAGTTTTCAATTTCAATTGTGATTCAGCGACCTGCGATTCCTGCGAAATACGTATCCGTCGACTGACCTGTTGGAATCTGCTGAACACCATACATCAGAGGTACCTAGTACCTACGCACAGTAAGTTTAAATATTATTTTGTATTGATCCAAAGTGAATTATATAGTAATTGAAATTACGTTTTAATATAATTTAATATCTTGTAACATAACTGGCTGTATACCTACATTTTTCCACGCTACAGCTTACGTCGAATTAGTCATCAGACAGCAAGCAAAATGGAACTATTTTTGCAATGTAATGATTTGGAGGGTTTGGCGCCACTACTACAAAGTGAGTTGATTTATATTTATTGTTACCCACATAAGGAAGTGTAATTTTTATAAATGTGCAAGGCAGCTTAGTTTCGTAACGGCTGATAATGGGATATCCGATATTGTGCATGCATTTTTAAATTGGGATCAGTGGCGTATAGGTATAGTCGACAGTGGAATTAATAATCGATACCCACTTAATTATTAGTTATCATTTAATAAAGGACTTGCAGCTGTTGCGATTTTAAGTTGTCAATTTCTTTAATTTCTATTCTTTGTCTCAAAATGCTTGTATAATTTAATACGTTTCAGAACACGGTGTGGATTTAGACACAGCAGTAAAATTGTCTCGAGAGGAAATAAAAGAGTTGATACCATACGTGGGACTAAGGTCCAGATTTTGCAGGGCTCTGAAGTCTATGGAGCAACCACAATCGAGTTCAGAATCCTCTGTATCATCGGTAACCCCAACAATGATTTTAGATTGGGTAAATATATATTGACTAAAAGTATTTTTGCATATTTCAACTTTGTTTTTCAGTAGATAATTTTGTTGATTAGTTATTGACAATAAGACTGCCGTTTTCAAGTAGATATTATACACAAATTAAGGTTAACCAGTTCACAATTAATTTTTTATAAGACATGATAAAAGTTCTGTGAGATTTTGTTCTTTTCATTTTATCGAAAGGAAAAGCATATCAGATTTAAGTAGGTACTCCTACTCTTGTACTCTTTACTGGATCATTCGAATATGCAATACATATTTGCAATTATTTGTAGAACACGAATGACGATGGCGATACCACCTTAATTGATGACCCTCAATCTTCAGTTCCATCCACTTCATCTTCTATTCCATCCACTTCTTCTGATGTGCGCATAATAGAGGTAATTCCGGTAGAAGATACTGATATTACTACGGAGGGATTTCAAGCATCTACACAGTCTACACTTCCAGAATTTGACTTAAAAACATTGCTAGATTGCACTCCGTTAGGATCTACGATAATAGCATATTATGAAAAAAACCAAATGCTTAACAATAGTAAAAGATCTTTATTAGTTGATATCATATGCAAAAAATTTTTCATTTTGCGCAAAAAAATAGAGTATGTCATAGTGACTACAACATTCTAACAGCTAAAATTATAACACTCTTTCCTAAAGAACTATCTGGTACGTATTACGTTCCAGCTATTTCAAAAAAGCATTCGGTTACTAATAAACCAATAGTAGCCAAAGGAAAGCTTGTCGACAAAGTTCGTAACCTTTTAAGGCTAAACAGACAAATCAATGCAAACAGTTCTAAAACTTTGGAAACGACCACGGAATTAAAATTAGACGAATCACTAAGAAAGGTTAAAATTTGGTTACAAACACGCAAAGAACCATGGAATGAAGTAGTTACGAACTGGAAAAGTACAATGGAATTGAGGAGGCAATCAACCAGTAAAACAGCTTCTGAGTTTTTTAAAGATTGGCCAATACTGCAGGATTCTCGCTCAACTCAGTTGGTATTCCTTTTCTAAACCTGGATCTTAGTATATGGAATTAATCAAATTTTTCATTTTAGATTGATATAGATTTTGATGTGATGTTTCCAACTAAAGGTGTTAATATTCACATTCGTTGGTTCCCTTTTATGGAAAAACTGATTCTCTTACGAGGAAGTTCTATGAAAGAAAGATCAGGCTTACAGTATTTAGAAATACTAAATTTAGAAGAGAATTGTAACGAAGGTAATCAATTAATCATATCACGACTATTTTATGTAATTATCTCATTTTTTATAGATACAAAGGTAGCTCTGCATTTGCACATGTTACCTAATCTAATTCCACCAAAAGGAAGAACAAAGTTGCCCAATAAAAAAGATTGGAAGTTTTCCGCCGCGGAGGTTCTTGAAAGTTTAATTCAACATGTCAAAGTAAGTTTAGTTAATTTAAAGTTTACAGTATTGGTTTTACCTTTTTTTCTGCTGCTAAACTGAAAGTACCTACGTTAATAATTTTTTTTTGTAAAACATAAAGCATGTCGTTAGTAACATTTGTAATATCTATGTAATATATTTAATATTTGTAATAGGTACTGGCTCCAGTCGCCAGTAAAAACTGTCTTACGTTGCTAATAATGCTGATACTATGACATTATATGACTTTAATTACGTTTTCTAGGGGTGCATGCAAAGAATGAATCATTTTGCTATTTGAACTGTTGAAAAGTCAATTACGCATATATTCACTTTAGATCAATCACACCTCTAATTAATTAAATGCAAATATCTATTTTTATTGTTTTTTTTTCTTTAAGGGCCCTGGTGACATCGAAGACCACATTCAATCATACCAAGATCGTATGTACAATTTAAAACAGACTATCCAACCATATATTTTGGTAGTAGGACCTTCTTTAAAGAATGTTACAGCAACGTACGTAATAGTTGATAAAATACGATACAAGTGCAATACAGTTCTTTCTGCATTAGATTTAAATTTTAAAATCTTTCATATTATGAATGTCTGTTACCCCTCTCAATCTGAGTACCTATGGATACTGATTCAGAAATGTGTGTATGAGGTGCACACTGCACAAGATAAAACGATTCCATATATCTTAGACTTGATTGAGGTATTAAAAGACATTAATTAGTTTATACAGTTACAAAAGACAAAATAATTGTTTATCTATTTATAAGACCTGCTGTTTTTGGCGTCATTATGAAATGTCAAAAGTGTAACTGCTCGTTTTCCAATGCTAGTATTTATATTAATCATCTAACATATAAGCATAATATAGTAAATTTTTCTTGTTGCTATAGAACTTTTAGCACACGTGGTGCGTTTAAAAGGCATTTAAATTTAGAACATGTTCAGAAAAATAATCCTAATACCGCAACTAATACTGCGACAAATGTGTTACATTCTCTAAACGCTACTGATCCTTATACAGTTAATACTTCAAACTTAGAAAATGTTGGAGAACCATCATACAATTCATCAGGAGATCATAATGAACAATTTTGTAAACTATTTCAATCAAACATAGACCAATTCGTTTCATCTTTATATAGTAAACTTCAATTAAATTTGACTCTAATACAAGATATTATACTTCTCACTTCTGATTTTGTTTCATCCGCAATAAATAGTATTAAAAACTGTTGCTCATGTTCAAGTTTAAAGTGCGATAATTGTAAAGAAATGTTGAGTGTATTGGAAGAACCGTTCAAAAACTTAAATACGGAATATAAAAGACAAAAGTATTTTACAAACTCAAAATGTTTTGTTAATCCCACGGAATTCGTCATAGGTACAAGAACTGCACCGAAAAAACAAGACAAAAAAATTATCAAAGTCCTCGTTTGAGATCGAAGGGACTTCAGCGCATTTTTGTGTGGCAGATCAGTATTCTATTAGCCACTTTCGACTCAACCATCAATAACAGATCTTGTCGAAGGCTACTACATTCACTAACCGCTTCCCACTTTCCCCGTGCACCCGCAATTCGCTTTTGAAGATTTGACTCCACCATCAGTAAGATCGTGTCGGGGGCTACCACATTCCCTTTGACGGTACCCCCTTCCGACGTCCCGTTTACCCGCAATTCGTGTTTGAAGATTTGACTCCACCATCAGGAAGATCGTGTCGGGGGCTACCACATTCCCTTTGACGGTACCCACTTCCGACGTTCGGTTCACCCGCAATTCGCGTTTGAAGATTTGACTCCACCATCAGGAAGATCGTGTCGGGGGCTACCACATTTCCTTTGACGGTACCCCCTTCCGACGTCCCGTTCACCCGCAATTCGCGATTGAAGATTTGACTCCACCATCAGTGAGATCGTGTCGCGGGCTACCACATTCCCGTTTACGGTACCCACTTCCGACGTCCCGTTCACCCGCAATTCGCGTTTGAAAATTTGACTCCACCATCAGGAAGATCGTGTCGGGGGCTACCACATTCCCTTTGACGGTACCTCCTTCCGACGTCCCGTTCACCAGCAATTCGCGTTTGAAGATTTGACTCCACCATCAGGAAAATCGTGTCGGGGGCTACCACATTTTCTTTGACGGTACCCCCTTCCGACGTCCCGTTCACCCGCAATTCGCGTTTGAAGATTTGACTCCACCATCAGGAAGATCGTGTCGGGGGCTACCACATTTCCGTTGACGGTACCCCCTTCCGACGTCCCGTTCACCCGCAATTCGCGATTGAAGATTTGACTCCACCATCAGTGAGATCGTGTCGCGGGCTACCACATTCTCTTTTACGGTACCCACTTCCGACGTCCCGTTCACTCGCAATTCATTTCTATTGGCGACACGAGAAAGAGAGACAGCGATTCGAGATTCACGAAACGTTAAACCGCGTGAGTTCGCAACGGAAGGTAAAAGGCGCCTGTCTACTTCTCGAAGACGCGCGCGCGCGCCTCGCAAAAGGTCGTTAATTTCGCCCCTATGACAAAAAACAAAATTCCGCCACGCAGGAGTTGTGCGCGTTTACAACATCTTTCCGACGACACCAATTTGAAAAGAATCGAACCAAAACTGTAGTAGAAGATAGGAAAAAACTGAAAAACCTTCACGTTAGTATACTACGCTCGAGGATGACGCCCAGATGTCGCCAACCCCACATCATGTAGCCATGTCCCTAAGGTTGACAAATTTCACGGTCCTGTAGATACACGTACACCCGTTGCCTTTCTACAAGAGTTCTTCTACGCGCCCACATTTGCTGCCAGCCAGCCAGCCAGCCAGCCAGCCAGCCAGCCAAAGTGAGATTAAAAGCTACTTTTTACAAAAAAAAATTTTTGCAAAAATGCGCTAAAAATATCTTTAGACCTAATTAAAAATGTTGGATACTTTGTACCTGTAGAAAGTACATTGAAACTGTTTCTTGAACTTCCGGGAGTTTATCATATTATGAATGATTATCGAGATACACTTCTTTCAAATAAAGATAGTTCACTGTGTAATGTAATTCAAGGAAGCTTATGGCAAGAATATTTAAATCACAATAAAAACAAAAATGTTTTTCCATTAATAATTTATTTCGATGAGTTTGAATCAAGTAATCCATTGGGAAGCCATGCTACCATATATAAACAAGGTGCGGTATATTTTTCAGTACCTTGTTTACCTCCAGAACACCTTACACGTCTTGAGAATATATTCTTAGTTATGCTATTTCATGCAAACGACCGAAGTAGCTTTGGAAACAAAGCAACCTTTAGTATCCTTATACAAAGTTTAACTTTTTTAGAAAACTATGGTATCGATATAACTATTAATGGAAAAGAAGAAAAAGTATATTTTTCTTTAATTTTAGTTACTGGCGATAACCTAGGTATACATTCATTGTATGGCCTATCAGAGTCATTTTCATCAAACTACTATTGTAGATTTTGCAAAATGCATAAAATGGAAATGCAAACTGCAATTAGAGAAGATGATCAATTACTTAGAACGATAGATGATTATGACCAATGTGTCGAACAATTGTCTTTTGGTGTAAAAGAAAATTGCATATTTCACGATCTACAGCATTTTCACATTTTAAAAAACCTTGTTTGTGATATAATGCATGACTTAACTGAAGGGGTTCACAGGTACGCTATGGCAAACGTTATTAACTACTTTATTGCAAAAAAATTTTGAATGTTGACATTCTCAATGGAAGAATTAAATATTATAAGTACACTGATTTAGAACGTAACAGACCCCCTATTTTAAAAATAGAGCATATAAGAAACAGGCATTTATTGCTTTCATCAGCCGAAATGATGTGTTTGGTGCTAAATTTTAGATTCATTATAGGCGATTTAATCCCTAAAGCAGACAAAGTTTGGAACTATTACTTAATATTATTGGAAATCACCGAAATTTTGATTTCATCATCTATTACACATAGTGAAATTGATTTGCTTCAAACGCTTATCGAGGAACATAACTTCTTATATATCGAACTTTTTAAAGAGAATTTAAAACCTAAATTTCATTTTTTATTGCATTATCCTAGAATTATTAGGAAAATAGGGCCGCTTTGTTTGGTACAGTCGATCAGGTTTGAAGCAAAGCATAAAGAGTTTAAAAGATTAGCTAATGTAGTATCTACTAGAAAAAATATTTCTTTAACACTTGCCAAGAGAATGCAACTTAAAGTTTGCTATCGCATGTTGTCACAAGTCGGGATAAAGGACGTAATCGAAACAGGGCCCGCTTATACGACACCACCATACTGTGACATATACTTTGGTCCCTTAAAACATACTAATAATTTTTGCATACATTGGTACAGTTTTAATGGAATTCGATATGATAATCATTCAATTTTAATATACCTATAATGTTGAGCACGATATGCCAACATTTTGCAAAATCGAACACATTGCAGTTTTTGATGAAAAAATATATTTTTTTACCGCTACATGGGCCACAATTTCTTATGATCTCCATTTTAAAAGTTACACAGTTGAGTTTAATGGCAAACATAAAGTTTTTGAATACGCGTTTTTTTTAAATAATTACCCTGGCTCAATTTATGAGACTGTTACTAGTGTAAAGTATGTACATATTTCAAAAATGTTGTAAGTCAAATATTGTTACTAGAATATAGTTAGTTTTTAAGTAGTTTAGCCAAAGTGTTTTGTAAAATTATTTTTAATTTTGAAATAAAATATTTTTTTATAAACATACAAATTTAATTTAAAAAAGTTAATAGGTTGATTGAATCATTATTAAGTTGAAAGAACAAATTAACAAATTCAACTTGACTAATTGTACCGTACAAGGGGGCTTCGATAACAAAGAATTTGATTGTAAGTCGACTGTAATTATGAATTACTTCCAAGGCCTTGTTTATGCTGGGAATGAAAGAATATAGACACATAAATAAACGTGTTTATTATCAAAAATACAAAGTAAATGAATTTCTATTGAACATGGTTGACGTAGGCACGACGGCTACTAGAATATGGTAAAGTTACGAAGGGATAATGTAAACAAAGGAACTTACGTGTTGTTTCGAAGTCCATTAACAACGAAGGCGATGTTGCAATGGCGAAGATTGCTCATTCTACGAAGTTGTCGAATGTGTCGATTTTGTTACAACGAAATCTTCTAATTGATGTGCGGTGCTTTGACGTTCTGCTTGTTAATAACGATGTTGCGAACTGCACGGCGACATCTTGACCCGTTGGGGATCGATCGAGATCTATATGGGAACGACGAAGGCTAATCGGCCATTGGTTAACGGCGACTTCTCAACGTAGTTGAGTCGATGGCTTCTAAGCGAAGAATCGGACGAATTCTGCGCGACGAGTACACATATTGCGCTTCTGCGGCTCATGCGCGCACACGTAACAAATAGGAATATATACAGGCAAGGCAAAACGGTTATGTACAGGGTATTTTCATTAAAGGAAAAACGAAAGGATATTTTATTCTAGTTTGGGGACGCAACACTAATCATTTTGTTTCGTATAAATAATTAAGTGTGTTGATACAGTACGATATTGTGTTATTGTAAGTAAATTAAAAGTTCATTTTTACAAAAGCATAATGTTATTTGAACGTCAAGTACAGGTAATACTAACACATATTTGATTCATTTAACTATAAATTCGTTTATTTTTAACAAACAAGTAGTTTGAAATAACATACAATGTTGTTTAGTCAACGTATACGTATGGTTAATTCTACAAAATATTTTGTTAAACCAAAAATAAATCCAATAAAAACAACATAACTCACTCTTTTAGTTTACACAATATTTTGTTGATTTAACTGTACTATTTACTAGAAAGTGCATGTGAGGAAACGAAATTAAGGGTGAGGAAATAATCTGCCCAACCCAGTAAATAAGATTTCCCCCAGATATTTCCACTTAATTTCGCCCCTCCTAATCGTCTTCCCCCACCAGATCTCCAAGATATATATACCTGTGTCAGTCCAGTGTTTGTAACTTTTGCTTCTACCTTTACCAGTGCCTTTTGCTATTAACCAGCCTTATTTACCTGTCATTGATTACTGCACCTTTAACCGTCGTTCCATTTCCTGTAAAACCGTTGTTAACCTGCACCCCCTGTCGTTCCTTGTGTTGAGTGTGTTGCCGTTAGCCCTAGGGGGTTAATCGTAATTAGCCGTCGAGGTGAGTGAGTGTTTATAGTGTCATTAAAACAACAATCTTTCAACCCTTTATTAAAACGTGCAAGCCGTTACCTCTATTACTCTGACCAGTTCCCAATTCCCCGAGTAATTCCAGTTCCTAGGTGTACTCCCTAGCGAACGGGTTACTACAACAAGTATTCCTCAAGATTACCAGCTACTCTCCGTACGTTCCCACCTGTCCGTGTCTTCAAAACAAAATCGGAGCGTGACTCCTGGTTTTAAACGAAGTACACCTCCGTAGTATCTTCCCGTCGCCCCGTCCTGCCTAAACCTGGGGCACAGTGCTCCCGCCTACGTTAACCATAAGGGGCTGAAAGCCGTCACGTGAAAGGTTAGTTGTTACAGTTCGAACACTCACCCCGCAGGTTCTGTTGGTTACCCCGTTCGGGTGGCGCAGCCCTCAATCCCGCATCAATTAATTTGTTACATTCTAGACAGCACTGCACGTGGAAATTAACCTACAGTCCGACACGAAAACGGCATTGACAGCAAACCAGCTGACACGCTGGGGCCAGATAACTACCGGCAGATGGCAGTACTCCCCAAGTAAATACGAGGACTGCTCCGGAAATCTTTTATATTATTTTATTTTGTATATATATATTTTTATTTCTATTTAGACAATACACTTTTAATTTTCTTTGCTCGCCAATTATTTCCCAACGCTACCCGAGGCTGTGGGCAAAAGCCGGAACGTACCCAGGGTTGCTCACATGCATACACATATACAAGAATTAACAAAACTTTTGTTAAATTAACAAAACATAATACTTGCATATCAACAAAATTTTGCTCTTGTTTGAACAAAATATTTAGTCGTGAAATAGTGACACTTGTATTTGGTTGAATTAAAGAAAATTTATTTAATTTAACGAATTCTTTTTTACCGTGTAGTGACACTACAAAGTAGTGCACGTGCAAATGATGTATCTACAATCATTTAATAAAAAATGTAAATTGTGAAGTAATTTTGTGTACTTTACCTGTCTTTGCTTTTTGAAAATCTACATAATTTAAAGTAAATGTATGCTCAAAGTTTGCAGTGGGGTCTAACAGCGTAATTGTATATAAATCATCGCTCTCTGACTCCGTAGAACACATTTTCAATGGAATTGTTTTTATTTTTAAGTTTATTTGAGGTTATGTATCATCTAAAAACACGTTTAGTTGAAATACATCAGTTCCATTGGTTCATAATAGGTGTAGCTTAAGAACAGAACAGTTGATGAACACTTGAAGAGCAGCTACTAACCATTGGAAAGCGCCTAGTGTCTCAAGTTACCCCTACATGTCTCAAGTTATGTAAATGTATAAATGTGCTATCACCTTACTATATTTTTCCTGTAACAGACCCAGATATGGCGCGCACACAAAAGAAAAAGCTTGGAACAAGAACTTACCACAATTTCCAACAAAGTCAGCTGGATAATGCAGTAAATGCCGTAAAGAAAGGGCTCTCCTTAAGGAAAGCTGCAGAGAAGTTCGGCGTTCCTCGATGTACAATTCACAGAGCAATAAGAGGGGAAAATCCTGGAAAAATTGGAAGGCCTTATGTGCTCACTACGGAAGATCAAGAAGCATTGGTTAAATGTCTTACGATGGCTGGTGATTGGGGATTTCCTCTATCAACATATGATATCAGGCTTATAGTAAAGGGGTATTTAGATCGATGTGGTAAAAGTGAGAAACGTTTTGAAGGAAATTTACCTGGGCTTGACTTTGTTACGTCTTTCTTGCAAAGACACAAACATATGTTATCAAACAAACTATGTCAAAATATTAAAAGGAGTCGGGCAAGTGTGGATGCAAACATAATAAATCAGTATTTTGATGAACTTGAGGTGTCAATAAATGGTATTGATCCTAGTATGATTATCAATTACGACGAAACGAACCCAGAACGCAAAAAAGTTGTTGTTAGAAGAGGTAGCCGTCATCCGGAAAGGGTTGTGGATACTTCTAAAACAAGTACGTCTGTGATGTTTGCCGGTGCTGCTGACTTCTGCCATCGTATGTGACGTACAAGGCAGAAAACCTTTATACTACGTGGACCGAAAATGGCCCAAAAGGATGTGTGTACAATAGAACTAAAAGTGGGTGGTTTACCCTAGAAGCTTTGAAGATTGGTTTCAACGAGTAATTGTACCTTATTACTCCAAAATGGACCAAAATGCAAAAAAAATTATTATTGGAGACAACCTTGCTAGCCATATATCTCCTTGCATTATTCAAGAATGTAAGAAGTACAACATTGCCTTTGTACTTCTTCCGCCAAACAGTACAGGTTATACGCAACCTTTGGACGTTGCATTTTTTCGTCCCCTTAAAGCTAAATGGAGACAAACGTTAGATGAATGGAAGACTAAAAACCGAGGGACCATACCCAAAGACACTTTTCCGCGGTTACTGAAAAAGTGCCTCAATAACATGCCGCTAGAAAATATTTCAAAAAATATTGTGAGTGGATTTAGAGGAGCAGGAATTTACCCGCCTGACAGACAACAGGTACTTAAAAGAATTCAATCGCGAAATGCAGAAGAAGTAAATGGGGCGGCTTGGGTAGCCACATTTGTGGAATACCTAGAAGAAAGTAGAAGGAAAGAGACAGATCCGTTGAAAAGACCTAAGAAAAACAAATTAAATGTTCCACCTGGACGAGGAGTCACAGAAGATGATGTTGATGCTGATTTTCAATGAAAATTCTAAGAAAGAAGCCGCAAAACAATTCTATAGCGAGATTAAAAGTATAGACCACGACAAAAACCTGGCAGAAGTGAAGTTTTTTAGAAAAAGTTCAAAATATGTCAGAAACATATACTACATCTTCCCTGTAGTGGATGGAGATCAAAGTTGATAGTATTATTGCGACTGTCCAGCCAATCAATATTTCCAGAGGGAGATATACATTTCCTTACGCTATCAAGGATTAAATGTACTTAATAAAAGTAAAATAGAGTTATTGTGCAAGCTTTTCTAATTATTTATGCCTTTATCCTTCATGTTATGTTATAAATGGCAGAATTTAACAATAAATTCAACTTATATCGGTTTTTTCTTGATTATTTATGTCTCACTTTACACCACGACATTCTAAATTGAAATATTCTTACTTTTGCATGCGTGTCTCAAGATAGGTACCCCGTTTGCAGGGTAACTTGAGACAGTATTTTTTTTATTTTTTTTTTAATTGAAAAACAAATTTCATTAGCAAAACTCAACTTGGGGCTTAAAGTATACATACAGACTCAAGTTTTAAGCGTATTACGGTTATTCCATATTCTATATTGTTTGTATAACAGTACTTCAATGGTTGAAATTGTCTCAAGTTACCCCAAATTACGGTAGTGAATTTTGGCCAATTTTATGTAACATAGAAAACATATCAGAGCATTTTGTATTTCCAGTAGGTGTGTATCATGGTTCCAAAAAACCAGAGGATCCAAATGAATTTTTAAAGTATTTTGTTAATGAATATATACAGGGTCATTCTTGGCGAGCGTCAGTTAGAAAGATATGGAAAACCTTTGAAAATTAAGCTAAACTGATAAGCCCTTTAAGGGTTTTGGCACATGATGAATTGAACTAAAATATTTTCAAAATGGCACCACTTCCGGAAATACCGGAAGTAGCCATCAACTTTGTTATTTTAAATAGGGACCCCCTATTTTGTCTACATTTTCGGATTCTACGTCGAATTTGGAGTACAACGATACCCCATAGTTGACCCTTTGCTCCAAGGGCTTCGCCGATATTCAAGTTTTTGTGTCAAAAATTGAATTTGCAGGGGTAACTTTAAAAATTTATTATTCGAAAACGGTGAGAGATATTGCAAAACAGTTTTCAATGCTTTATTAAGGAAAGATCGAATTTTCTTATGGTATGCGTAACCGTCTAAAAAAGTGAGACTACGTCACTTTTTCAAAGCTCTCAACTTTTAAACTTTTAAATATCCGTAAGTCCATTTTTTCAAATGACACCCCCATTTTGTTCTTTACCCTTGTTTTCCTTTTTCCTAGACCTTTAATTTGATGCAAAATGTCAAAAGCTGCTTCAAACGGTTTCCGAGATATTCCATGTTTTAGTTACTTCTTGTGGAAAGTTGATAAAAAAATTAAGTCGCTTGATGTTATTCTTTTGTTTTTATTATGATAATGTTTAAACGTCAAATTTTCGCTGCTTGAACTTATACTTCTCGTCAATAATGGCTCGTTTGGGTATACGGACCGTGCGTTTGGGTTACACTAATGAAGATTTTTTGAATTTAATATTAATACACGGTGAATGTAATCGAATAGCTGTCAGGACTTGTCGTCTTGTTTCCGAAAGGTACCCTGACAAGGCGCAACCCACAGAGGCTACAATTCGCAAATTACTACAACAGTTCAGGAATAACGGTATCTTTCAAACAAAAATACAAAAAAGGAAGCCTGTGGTAGACTCTGAAGAACAAGAATTAATAGTACTGGCGTATTTTGCTGCAAATCCAACTGCATCGCTCAATAGGCGCTTTCCAATGGTCAATTAGAGTACTACTGAATCACTACCTAACTGCTTTACCAAGTTAATGTGTGTTCCTTTGGTCAGAAGCGTTACGCTCCAGAACTGCTCATTTTGCATTCCTCTGCCCCCTGACCCACCAATGCAATTCGAGGGACAGTTGTAGTGCTTTAAACACTTGAGGTTAGGATTTTTTTGTTTTGCTTGGAAACTTCTACAATCTACAGGATTGAAAACCGGCTTTGCCGAATCTTGTCCTTTTGGTTACTTAATAATCAATAAATCGTCGCATTGGAATAACAAAGTACTAACTGTGCCAAACTTCATTTTGAGAAATAGCGATGCAAAGTTTTGAATTCCGCTATTTAACTTATTTTTAGATTTTACACTTTTAAATTTTGCCACTTATTAGAAAATATAAAAATAAAATATTTTCAATAAAATTAGTAGAGGTAATATAAAATCTTAATTCTTTTTTCTAGGTATCAAAATACAGATAGAACCTTGTTCTAGAATTTAATTAGTTTGATTGTGTCGAATAAGGTTCTATGTGGCACATACATCTTTGTTACGCAGTGTACTTTTGCAAAGCAACGCTGTTAAATTAAACAAAGTTTTATGTGTCACATACACCTGTGTTATTATATATTCACTGTTTAATAAAACTCATTTATCTACTCTACGTAACTGCATTGATGTTTAAATATTTATATGAAAAAACGCGAAATTATTTCTGTTAACATATTTTTATTGCACAAAAGAGAATATGAACTTAAGATTATTACAAAATAAAGACAATACATTTTCATAAAATACTGGAAAATAATGACAAATTTTCTAAAAAAAAAACAAACAAAAAAGCTTGAAAAACCCAAAATATTTATTTCAGTGTATTTAATAGTGCTGAAAAATACTTTTTGTCTATGTCCGGCATACAGCTGTCTATCATCTTTTTAATGGCCTTTATTTTCTCCTCCGGTAATGAATTTTTGGGTATTAACGTTTTTGGTTTTAAATCTAAAACGCTTGTGGTTTCTTTATTGCGGCGTGAAGGAATGCCCAAAGCCCGATCATTTTTTAAAGTTTGCATCACAAAAT